TCCCCTGCCCCGAAGCCCGCTCTGCTCTCCCTCGCCGCCCAGCTTCCCTTTCGTTTCCGGCTTCCTGGCCACGTAGGAGGCGGAGCGGAGCAGACCGAGGCTTTGGTCTCCAACCTTGGCAACTTTAAGACTTGTGGACTTCAACTCCCAGAGATCCTCAGCCAGCAAGGCTGCCTGAGGAACTCTGGGAGTTGAAGTCCACAGGTCTTAAAGTTGCCAAGGTTGGAGACCAAAGCCTCGGTCTGCTCCGCTCCGCCTCCTACGTGGCCAGGAAGCCGGAAACGAAAGGGAAGCTGGGCGGCGAGGGAGAGCAGAGCGGGCTTCGGGGCAGGGGAGGAGGCCGCCGACCGCGGGGGGCTGCTTGGCTGAAGGAACCGGAGGAGGTAAAGCCGCGCGCCTTCTCTTGGACCGTCAGGGCGGCGTAAAGGTAAAGCCGAGCAAAGGGCCGAAAACGCTTCGCGGAGCTTAGCCAGAACTGAACGACAAATCTCTGGGGAAGGAGGGGAAGGCGGGGAGGGGAAGGGAGGCAGCTCGGTAGGCCTCAGGTGGGGAAGTCCGGCACCGCGCCTCAGCTGCTCTTGGGGGTGGATCAGGATTTCTCTCGGAGGCGCAATTGCTGAGGCTTTGGAGGAAACGGGGCTCCGGCACTTCCAGGGACTCCTATTCTGACGGCGCTGCGCATCATGACGAAGCTTTCCAGGGAAACAAAACTAACCTCCTCTGCGGAACTAACTCGAGCTTGTGCCTGTCTGTCCTGAGCAACGGAGCTGATTTCTCGGTGACTCCAAAGCGGTTCCGTCGCTTTGTGCCTGGTGGCCTCAACCCGTGCAGTGGTCTCCAACCTTGGCAACTTTAAGACCTGTGGACTTCAGCTTTGCTGGCTGAGGAACTCTGGGAGTTGAAGTCCACAAGTCTTAAAAGTTGCCAAGGTTGGAGACCACTGAGTTTCCATTCACCTAGCTTGGGGTTCCTACCTACGATTGACTTGGTTGTCCAGAGTTGTACACAATATAGTACTCGCCCGTCAATATCAATAGGTGATCACGCCTCTTGTTCTGAGTCTTACGCATCTGTATTTTTACTCTTGCATCTCATATCCTGGTGCTCACATGCATAATATAATGAAACCTCCTGTCTGTAAGAAGCAGCTTTCGTGCTTTTACCGTTGTAATGGACGATTCATATTGTCTTATTTACAAGCATGATATTGTATAACAAAGAAAATTCAGTGGCTCTTATTTAAGGTAAGGGATGAATTGCATATAAACTAATATATATCAGTTGCAAATTTAAGCATGCGCTTAAACATATGCAATTATGTGTGAGTGAAATATCTCCTTGCTTACACTCGTCTACAGCCTGGTTCTCTTATTGTCAATGTTCTTTCTCACATTCACAATCTTGGGGGAAATAAGTTCTTGCCTTACTTCTTCCGTCTTCACTTAACAAACCACAATTGGAAGTGGCAACTCTGCTGAGCAATGGGGTCGTTAAGTGAAACAACATATGACCATGTTCAACCATGTTGAACTTAGTGTTGGTTTCTGTGTGAGTCATTAAACAAATCGCCCAAAATTGTTAAGCATGACATTACATGTCTGCAACTTGCAACTTGCTGCTAGTAAGTCTATTGACTTTGCCTCTTGGAAGCTAGTTATGAAGCTCACAAATGGCAATTACATGACTATAGAGATGCTGCTATGGCTATAAGTTTGAGGACAGTTTGTAATAACTCTTTAATTTTCTAAAATTATCAATTTGTTGTGTAACTTGCCTTTAATACATATGGATTTAGGCATAATAATAGACACAGATTGCATTTTTAGAAGATATATACACTATATAGCCATAATGGCGAACCTGTGGCACGTGTGCTGGAAGTGGCATGCAGAACCATCTCTCCAGGCATGCCAGCGTTGCCCATTGGTCTTCTAGGTTCCAGCTGGTCTTCATGGGCAACGGCTGGCATGCCCAGAGAGATGGCTCTGCATGCCACTTCCGGCACACGTGCCACAGGTTCGCCATTAGAAAATATTATTAAAATTAGATATGTCCTTGCTCCCTCAGGATAGCTGCTAAGTAAATCTCTCTGGGATGGCACTAGATCAGGGGTCCCAGTTCCATTTGCATGAATGGTGGGTGCTTGCAAGTGGCGGGCACTCACACCTACCACTTTTGTAAATGGTGCTGTGTGCGCAAGTGTGCACCTGTTGCTTATGCAGAACCATCCCCCCCCATTGGTCTGCAAAGCCAGAATGGTTGGAGACCCCTGTGCTAGATGGATTGTAAACTTAGCTGTTTGTGGTACAGGTAGTCTTTGTTTAACGCCTGGTTTCAATTTAAGTCAGGAAAGAAGAGAAGGAAAAAAGAAATAAAACAACAACCATTCATTACTTTCAAATATTTTGCGATCTTTGAAGACTATCCTTGTATTCACCGTGTCCACATGCTGCTCTTAGTTTTTTACCTTTTCATTTCTCTGTGTGAAGTTCCCATCAACTCCATCTGGTTCCAAACTTTTCAATCTTCATAGCATATTCTTTCATACATCATAATTGTTTCACAATTTTGTTCTCATTCATTTTTTTGAATGGACCAAACCATTTTCAACTTTCTCTTGAGTGATTCTCAACGTTTTCTTCACCACAGACTCCCTTTTAATACCTATTGTGGCCGCTGACCACCAAGACTTAACTCAAGATTTAAATTATAACATTTCTTCAAGCCTTCACAGACGCTCTGTGATGACATCACAGCCCACCAGGGTCCATGGACCACAGATTGATAACCACTGGATCAAACCATTTCATATTGCTTTCTTCCTACTACTCGCTGACTTTTACATTCATTCCACATTCATCGTTTTCTTCACCACAGACTTCCTTTTAATACCTATTGTGGCCACTGACCACCAAGACTGAACTCAAGATTTAAATTATAACATTTCTTCAAGCCTTCACAGACCATATTGCTTTCTTCCTACTGCTCGCTCACTTTTACATTCAGTAACAGGTATCTCCTCCTACTACATTAAACTTACATTTTTTTATCTGACATGCTCTATTTGTGCTTTTGTATAACAAAGTGAAAAGCATGTTTTTGTATGCAACTATTTTTGTGTCTTTAAATGCTCATGTCTCACAATAGAATCTAAAAGACCTGATACCTACATACACTATATCGCTAAAAGTATTCACTCACCCATCCACATAAGTTGTGAGCGAATACTTGTGGCAATATAGTGTATCTTAAACTTTCTCCATCCATTCTACCAAATGCTACCAGAATTCCCTCTAGTTTTACATAATTTGTGTTTGCAATCAGCCACTCAGTTTTCATTATCAAAAAACAACTGTATTGTGAGTATAAAGTGGTCTCTAAGTTTGATTGAATAAAGTAAACATGTTAGTATTTTATATACTAATTTTCATCTTTACATCCTTCCACTAATATTTACTGTGTATGTTCACTTTTCTCAAACAACAGCATGGCATTATCAGCATGCAAAGGTGATCCCTAAGCAACACATGACAGGTTATTATAGAACATTTTGTATCTGTTAATATTAAGCAATTTAGTGGATTTCAGACTTCCTTGTTGTGTTTCCTGCTTAGTGTTGAATGATTTTCTAAGCACTCCATTTATTATTATGCATGCCTTCCTATTTATACTGCTTTTAACAGTTAGGAATGTGTAGCATACAAATTTAATAAATCACTGCCATTACTGTCATAATCTGCTTTTACTGCATTGCATTCAACAACCAATCAAATTCCATTTATGCACAAAACATTACATAATTTGGATGTATTCAATTTATTCTATGCTTCTCTAAATCAAGATGCACATAATAAACTATTTCTCATATTCATACAGATGCTGAAGAGCAAAAACATTTGTGCAAGATAGCATAAAGTTACACTACATTTCCCAATTTTGCTCATTATCACTTCTCATGTATTTTCAATATTAAAAAATAATTCTTCCAAATATTTTCCAAAGCCAACTTTCTTTTTTTCTTTATATAGAAAAGTGATAGCATTTTCCCAGTGGTTAAGCACAGGTGGAGTCTTGACACATTAAACAATTGGCACACCCATATTTTACTGATTCTCCAGGTATATTATCAACACTTCAACTTTATTATTTTGAACATTCTCATGTTGAATGACTTTTCTTCATTTTTTTCTTTGTCATTAGGGTAACACTTTCAGTTTCATTCTTTAATTGAAAAATAACACTCACTTCCATACAGATCCTAAATAATTTTGTTACTTTTATTTCTCCTCCAGGAGTTTCCGTGTTTTATCACCATTCACAATGTCCATGCTTTTTTTTTCTTTCTGTTAAAACTGCTTGATTTATTGAATGTGTTTCAGTATACTAATACTTTTAATTTGTAGTATATGGTCAATAGCTTTTGCAAGGTATCCTCTAGATTATAATTCATACCTTGCATAGAATAGCAGGAGCATACCTGGTATAAACTGGTTATGCTTGCAACATATTGCCAAAATGTAGCCAAATTGGCTGTCTTGTCCTTATTGTGAATGCTGTTTCTGGATTCAATTCAGACTAGGAGATATCTCTTTCAAATTATGACAATACCAAAATAAAGAAATACTGCTCAGAAATATGTAAAGGATCTTGTTTTTATTGTTTCACAAATTTCTGTGCTTCTTTTTACTAAAAAGTGTGTTGTGAAACCTGCTTTGGAAAAAATCAATTTGCTCAGAAACTGATAAGATTGTTGTGAACTGCCCAAAGTCACTTAGGTAATATGGGTGGTGTAGAAATTAAATAAGTAAATATATACATAGGAATGTGTTTCTATCTAAACCAATGATTCTCAACCTTTTCTTCACCCCTCCCCCTTTAAATATGTTTTATGGCCATGGATCTCCAAGACTTAACTCAAGGTTTAAATCATAATATTTCTTCAAACCTTTGCAGACCTCCTATGTTGACATTGTGGACCCCCAGAGGTACGCGAACTAGAAGTTGAGAACCACTAGTCTAAACTACTTTTGTGTGTATGTGGATAGAGGAATATTCAATTCAGTGAAAAGAAAACAGGACTTTTCATTGAATTTAATGGATGTAATTATAGTGCTTTGAATACAGTTATCACATTGAATGTTAATTGGAAGAGAGAGAAAACTTTCTTAGGAAAGAAGCCAAGTTTTTTTAACAACTAAAATTCAGTCCCAACCTACCCTTAGTAGATAACATGGAACAAGTGATGATACATCTGCTACACATCATCACTTTGTCTGCTTTGTTGCCTATCTAAATAACCATGGTGTGAATGTAACTTTATTGTTAATGTGGTTCTTTAATATAAATCAGAAAGAAGTATTTTTCCAGTGGGAGTCCTTTATCTTGTAATTTTCTTTATTCATAACATTTCTTAAGAATTATAAAGCAATAAAAATATAGCACTCAGTTACAAACTAATTTTTGGTAGAGTATTGATTTTAGAAAACAAGCAATATAATTCGTGAGACTAACTATTTTTATGAACTCCTTGGCACGGAACTTTGCCAAAACAAATTGCAGTGTAAGTTTTCAAACAAAAAGTAACACAGACAAGTAGTTCTCCTTTCTCTAGTCTATCAGGCCTCAAATGAAAAATCTTAAGATTGTGCAAAAAATAATAATAATCAATTTAATGCACCTGCATAATATACATCCATCTTAATAAATTTGAGAATACTAGAAGTTCTGCGAAGAACACAATTTCTTTACTGATATGGATAAAGTTGTGTTTCTTGCCTTTTTAAAGCAGCATTTATACAATATTACAATGTGTGTGCGTGTAGGTAAGTAGGTAGGTTGTAATTATATTTACATAGATTGAAGACATGGAAAAATGATATATCTGTTTTTACTATCTTTAATTCAAGTTTAAAATTGTTGTTAATAACAATTTTAACCCATAACTGTATTAAGATGTTTAATTAATTAAGTAGAGGTCAGCAGATGCAGATTACTGTATAGCATTGGTAATTACTCCTGTTTGAAAAAAGCATGTTTATGTTAACTTCATAAAGGCATAAATTTTTGGTAACAGCAGTTTGCAGCACCTTGAGAAAGTGATCTTGAGAAAAATAAGCAAGTTTAGATCAGGTTAGTATTTGAATGGGAGAAAGAAATGTTGGAAGGCAAAGGTTTCTGGTCCATTCCTAGCCAGGAGTCACCACTGATGCTAAAAGAAAGTTTCGTGAAGACAGCTGCCTGGAAGTTATGAGTTTTTATTGAGGAAAGAAAGAACGGGAAGGATGAGACACAGCTCTGTCGTTCCCGGGTCTGCAACACCACATATAGAGTTTGGTTTCCCCTTTTATATAGTTTTTCTTGCTTCAGGCTATTGTGTAAATTCGGATTTTATAAAGTTCTTTTATTCCGGATGATTGTTCTGATCTTGATTCTCTTGTCTTCGGATTTCGTCCGTCCGGTGTCTCGTCCTTGGGCTAATCCTGTCCTAAGACACGCGGAGGAGGGTGTTTTCCTGTTTGGGCACTTATACCAAGGTGTCTGCTCTATGTAAATAGTCATGACGTTTGTGTTATCTTGGGATTGGATTTTGTGTTTGTGTTATTCCGACTGGTCATTGCTAGACTTGGGGTTTTTCCCCCAACTTCCTAATCCTATTCTCTCATGTTCCTTTTGTGACTGAGTGTAACCTTTTCCTGGCTACGTGTGGGGCTTTCTCTGGCTATGGCTCCTGGCTGCGTGTTTATTAATTTTTCTGTACATGCCTTCTGGGTTATTTCTGCTACCTTACTACAGAAACTATGGTTGTAAACTATATGCTGAAAGACATCCTGAAAAAAAGCAATGACAAAGCAGTCATTTGTATTGTTGCAAAGGAAACATGTCATGAGCAGGAGTCAATCTCAGTTCAGGGGAATTTTATGATGGCTAAATACTTTAAATATGAGTGTGTGTTGAGATATACAGTATCTGGTCCTAGTGGCATGCTATTTAGAAAATAAGGTGTTTATGCTTTTTATTCTTCAGTTTTTAATAAAAAAAAGGTAAATACCCTTACAGCAATTGGTTTAAGCTAGAATTATTAAGTATTTGTATTTTTCTATGAACAGGAGAAAAGCTATTTCTGAAGTCACTTAAAATTATCTTACAGGAATATTTGCTATAGATCTAAAATAAGAATAGTTCATACATTGTCTTGGACATATTGGCAACTTAATTCATGAAGTTATGTTTTGTTTTCCAATCCCAATAAGATTTTACTATTTGGGAGCAAATATGCAGAGCACATCAAATTATCTGTGGCTTCTATCAGACATCCTGGGACAAGGAGCTACTGCAAATGTTTTTCGTGGACGACACAAGGTTTGTATAAAAATAGAATTCTGCTAGCTGAATTTTTTTTTAATCTAGGCTCAACAAAGAATATTTTCTTAATTTCTCATGTTGAATGGCATTTATCACTTTACTTACTAGATGTAAGGCAGATGTGTCTTAATAACAGAGATACTGTAGCTTTTGTCAGAAAAATCTTCCATGAAATGTTTTTAAAAATGTCATTAACATTACAATTTAAATGTACAGGAACATCCATTTTTCAGAGATGATAATTTTAATGATTCTGGGCTTTTTCTAAACGAACCTAATGTTTCTTACAGAAAACTGGAGACTTGTATGCTGTCAAAGTATTTAATAACTTCAGCTTCCTTCGTCCTGTGGATGTTCAGATGAGGGAATTTGAAGTGTTAAAGAAACTAAATCATAAGAACATCGTCAAATTATTTGCCATAGAAGAGGAGGTAATTATTATGTAATGATATATTTTACTGAGGAGCAATTCATGTTTTTACATTATATTGGTATTTACATTTCAATATATGCCACTTTCTTAATTTTATTCTGAGATTAATAAGGACATGTTGAAATATAATAATGGTAATGAATTTAATCTCCCTGCTTCCTCTTTTGGAATGCCCACAAGAAAGATATTAGAAAATGTGCACATACTGTCAGCGTTCCAAATACCATGTAGAATCAATTCAGAATCGAAGGCAAAACTATGCTTAAAGTTCCAATTTAATAAAGCAGGCATGTTGACACATAACTTCCAACTCTGGAAGTTACATCAGAATCCCACCCAGTTATTTATTTATTTATTGAATTTATAGGCCGCCCAATCCCGAAGGACTCCGGGCGGCTTACAAAAAAGGGGGGGAAAAGAAAAGGAAAATAAAAAGAGTGGTTTAAAATTCACAACACACACTCGTTCTACTCGGGGCTGGCCCTTAACAATAAGGTCAACAGCCCCAGGCCTGCCGGAACAGCCAGATTTTAACAGCTTTCCTGAAGGCCGTGAGAGTGGGCAAGGCCCGGACCTCTGGGGGTAGCTGATTCCAGAGGGTCGGAGCAGCCACAGAGAAGGCTCTCCTCTGGGGGGGCCCCAGCCGACACTGACTGGCTGACGGCATCCGAAGGAAGCC